CGCCTCCTTATTCTCAAGTTCGCCCCGTCGTGAGTTCGCCCCGTAAAACATAAAACAACCGATCCATGACCAGTTTAAATTATAACTACTCACCTTGCTTCACTTTTAAATTTCAAATATTTGGTCAGTTAGATTGAAGCGGTATAAGTTTTACAACATGCGGGCGATCACCTCCTACCGGACACAGGATTATACAGAATCGTGTTTTGACAATCATAAGTATACAAATACTTTAAAGTTACTCAAGAACGTCAACTAGAAAAGATATTTAAAAGACTGATATTACACAATTTTTCATTCCTTTTCTTTGTGTCTCTCTTAGACTGCAAAACAGTCGGTTTTTTTCTCAAAATCAGTAAAGAAATCGGTAAAGCGCGGCGTAAGAGTCTTCCGCGGGCCAAGCGCGCGAGCCTCACACGCCCTACGGGCGTCTCTCCCCAGTCTCGCTCTCTGTTTTCAGCCTCGTTCCAGACCTTTTGTTTGACTGCTCGCGCGTACTTGAATACGTAAAAATACGGACTGTTTTGCAGTCTATGTCTCTCTTTGCCTTTAATTAATGTAGTGAGAAAAAGTCACAAGTAATGCTTGATGGGTTCACGTCACTGCTAGTTCATTAGCGTTGCGCGCGCGGCAATAAATAGAGGTAAACTTCAAAGTTGTAACTTCATTACAATTTGAATTAACCTACCAGTTTACAACTGGCCAATCCAAATAAAGCATTTTATGACACTTACCTTTTTGATCCAGAAGTGGCTATAAAAAGGGTGAAACATACGGGGGGTGACAACTCTAAAAAAGTCTCTTTGGGCACTCCCATAAATAACTTTATGTCCTCCCGGAAATTTGGACGACCTTCCCGAATTTTTTCGGTGGCATTCTCCATAAATGTTTAACTTCCCAAAATTGTTAATTTAGAGACTTTTTGCTTCTGGTTAAGTATCTAACTCTAGTTAGATAGTCTAGTCTAGGAAGCTTTAGTCCCTGGGAGTCCATCAATCTTCCCTCTTCCTCCTCGCACATTTGAGGCGGTGGTGACCACGACAGGATCAGCATCCCTTACTTCCTCTTGAGCTTCTAAAGTATTTTGTATTCTTCTGACAAATCTTGCCTTAGCCAGGAACACACATAGTCGATGTCCCATTTTCGAAAAAACTTTTCGGCTGTTATAAAGAACATTCTAACGCCTGCTGCTATATTTTGACTAGTTGCTCAGGGAAAATGTGGAAAAAGTCATGACATACGGTAAAAGTCCAACTTACATTTTAACTTTCCTGTCATGGTTTATCGGCTTTCTTTTACCGACACGTCCATTTTACAGCTGTTACTTCCTTCTCAATTATGCAATCAGTGGAATCTGCTCTTACAAAAAATACCACTGAACTAATGAATGATGGGATCTATTATTATAATTAGAGATTAGAGGCCAGGCCACATTGGTGGTAGGCGAGGACTCTCTCCACTTTGCTCTTCCCACCGCACCACGCTTGCTGTTAATGTGCACCCAGTGATGTAAGTCTGCTGTTCGCCTGCAAAAACAGCTACATCTCAAATTAAAAGGCGACTCAATTCTCAGGCCACCTAGCTGTGGACATACCCACAGGGGAATCATCTACAAGGTAGCATAGCCATGACCTTCACACGTATCATCTTCCAGGTATATTTGGTATTTGGTGAGAAAAACAGCAAAGGTTATCACTCTCCCCTCGAACTAGGAACTAGCTTGCGAGCAAGCTCTCCTGGGGTTCCCTGGGATACGGCCAGAGCGCCCCGGAAGAGCTTGCACGCACGCTACCCTCGAACGCGTCCCTCCTATCTAATGTTAAAATAATAAGAGACTGCTCACAGTCTAAAAACTTTTGGCAAGGATTGTATGTGAGAGAACAAAATAAACATAGTTCTAATCAAAAAATCTTTATTCATCATTCACGTTCTGGTTTCTTAAATATAAATAGATTAGTATTTGAAAGCTAATTTACAAACGGAATGATAATAACGTCAACATTTATCACATATTTGGCTGAAAAACGTAAAGTCGTAGAAATAGTTGGGAAGGCAACGACAGAAATTCAGATTTTAAACTTGTTCTAACTGGACCGGCGGAAAAAAAATTCTTTTTGTGCACTGGATGCTGAAGACTCAAAACGCAAATGGTGTTGTGTCCGCGCGACGTTTGGCCGATAAAACTCGGGCGGCGAGCGGTAGATAAAAGCGGAGGTTTTACCAAAATTTGACCATAAGATCGGAGTGACGTTAACTACCACACACGGCACGTTAAGTGAATTCTGCCGTATCAGCCGCTGAAATAGTTTCCATCAGACCCCTTCTAAACTGATGCGGTTTGATTTGAAAATGTGTACATATTTTTATTATATATCATTAAATATTTAGGAGATTTAAATTCAGATTAGCCTGTATTTTAGCCGCCTCCTCGCTCACTAAGTCAAAGGGCAAAGTAGAGTGCCTTTTGATCCGATTTAGTGTTTCATTATTACACGTAACGTTTGAAAATGACGAGAACACGTTAACTTGGAGGCAGGCGGAGCTTTCCATGCGTTTTCGTTAACACGTAAACGCATTGGTTTGGATATGAGCTTAAGTTTTAAAACATCAGTTTTAACGTTTTCTAGCCGTGAACTTTTAAAACCATTTATTGATCTAACTAAT